AATTTCGCACCGTCGGCGACAAAGCAAGCCATGCCGAGAGAAACAAGGCAAAGATTTCGCATTGATTTTTTAATCACGGTGGGCGGGCCCAGATTGACTGCCGCGCGATGCGCGCCGCGTCCCATTCCTGCCACGCTTTTCGCATCGTCGACGACAAGAAAAACGATGTTGAGAAGAAAAAAACCACTTTGCATTGATTGTTCACAGTCCGGATGGGAGGTCCCGGATTGGGTCGCTATCGGCCGGAATACGAGGTAGGTGGGGGTATATAATAATAATGAACAAGGATGGGGATGGTGGTGGTGGTGGTGGTGGTGGTGGTGGTGGTGGTGGTGTGGTGGTGGTGGTGGTAGGGGGGGGTAGGAGGGGAAGGGGGGGGGGAGGGGGGGCGGCGGTGGCGGCGGTGGTGGTGGTGGTGGGTCGGGGGGAGCCCCCACTGGGGCGCTGGGGCCGCGGGGAAGAGGTGGGGGAGATGGTGTGCGTCGCGACGCGGGATAAAGCGTTCGCAGCGGAGGGGGCAATGGGCGGGGCCCCCACTGGGGCGCTGGGGACGCGGGGGGGGGCGGGGCAAGCCAGGTGCGCTCGCGTCACATCTGGCATCCTACCCCTCCCTCCTATCCCTTACCATGGCGCAGATCCCCTCTCTACTCGCACAGTCGGATGTCAAGCAGGGCGATGATCCCGAAAGGGTACGCGATGCATGTCAGAGCACGGCATGGCATGGCGTAGAAGAGCACCGCGAAGCGTAGTATCAACTTAGCATTGCATTGCATGCCGTGGCATGGCACGGGAAATGACGCCAGCGCTGCAGCGGGAGCACGAGTCGAAACGAGCGGAAGCGCGGAAATGAGGCCAACGCTGCAGCGGGGGCACGATTCGGAACGAGCGGAAGCACGGAAATGAGGCAAGCGCTGCAGCGAGAGCACGATTCGGAACGAGCGGGGCCCGAAAATGAGGACGGCGCCTCAGCGAGAGCAGCATTTTGGGAACAATTGCAAGCGAAAACCTAACTCCAGGGAAAGCTTCCCGGGCGCCAGAAGCAGAAATTCAACATTTCGAAAAAAGAAAAAAAAAAAATGGAATGGCCTTTTTTCGGCGCCGCCTCGAACTCAATTTTCTGGCGCCGGCCGGAACCTGCTCCGGGCCCGGCCCGGGCGCCGGCCTGGGCGCCGGCTCGGGCGTTCGGCCCGGGCGCCGGCTCGGGCGCCGGCCTGGGCGTCGAAATCGGCCCGGGAAGCCCCCAGGGCGCCGGAAGCAGAAACTTCGCATTTTCGGGGGGGGGGGGGGAAAAAAAAAAAAAAAAAAAAAAAAAAAAAAAAAAAAAAAAAAAAAAAAAAAAAAAAAAAAAAAAAAAAAAAAAGTGTGTATTAGAATCACCTTTTTTCGGCGCCGCCTCGAAACTCGATTTTCCGGCGCCGGCCGGAACCGGCTCCGGACCCCCGGCCGTATCGCCCGCCCGGGCGCCGGCTTGGGCGCGCAGCCCCGGCGCCGGCGGAAATGATGCCAACGCTGCAGCGGGAGCACGATTCAGAACGAACGGGGCCCGAAAATAAAGCTGGCGCCTCAGCGAGAGCAGCATTTTTTTGCAGAAACATTAAAGAACATTATCCCGGCAAAGCAACCTAACAGCGATGTGTAGAAGCATATATGGAAGCATTCCCCTTAAGATTCAGATGAGAATCCAGTTGTAGAGTTCTGCTGTTCTCGCAGTCGCAGTCGCATTCGCGATGACAGTCGCAGTGGCAGCGGCAGTCGCAGTCACAGCCTCAGCCTGCCTCAGTATCAGCCTGCCTCAGCCTCAGCCTCAGCCTGCCTCAGCCTCAGCCTCAGCCTGCTTCAGCCTCAGCCTCAGTCTGCCTTCAGCCTCAGCCTCTGCCTGCCTCAGCCAGCCTCAGCCTCAGCCTCAGCCTCAGCCTCAGCCTGCCTCAGCCTCAGCCTCAGCCTCAGCCTGCCTCAGCCTCAGCCTCAGCCTGCTTCAGCCTCAGCCTCAGCCTGCCTTCAGCCTCGGCCTCAGCCTCAGCCTGCCTCAGCCTCAGCCTGCATCAGCCTCAGCCTCAGCCTCAGCCTGCCTCAGCATCAGCCTGCCTCAGCCTCAGCCTCAGCCTGCCTCAGCCTCAGCCTGCAGCCTCAGCCTCAGCCTGCCTCAGCCTCAGCCTCAGCCTGCCTCAGCCTCAGCCTCAGCCTCAGCCTGCCTCAGCCTCAGCCTCAGCCTGCCTCAGCCTCAGCCTCAGTCTGCCTTCAGCCTCAGCCTCTGTGCCTCAGCCTGCCTCAGCATCAGCCTGCATCCGCCTCAGCCTCAGCCTCAGCCTCAGCCTGCCTCAGCATCAGCCTGCCTCAGCGTCTGCCTCAGCCTGCCTCAGCCTCAGTCTGCCTTCAGCTTCAGCCTCAGCCTCAGCCTGCCTCAGCATCAGCCTGCCTCAGCCTCAGCCTCAGCCTCAGCCTGCCTCAGCCTCAGCCTGCCTCAGCGTCTGCCTCAGCCTGCCTTCAGCCTCGGCCTCTGCCTCAGCCTGCCTCAGCCTCATCAGCTTCAGCCTGCCTGCCTCAGCCTCAGCCTCAGCATCAGCATCACCATTCTCAGCCTCTGCATCAGCATCAAAATGTGGCCCGGGAATGGAGTTCTGGGCACTCGAAGAGCACGAAGTGGCCTACAGTTGGCTCCGGCCACTCAAAATGTAGCCCGGGAATGGAGTTCTGGGAGGTCGAAGAGCGCGAAGTGTGTGACTGTTGGCGAAAAACAAGCCCGGCTCTGTTCCCGTTTCTCCAGAAAGTGGCCCGGGAATGGAGTTCTGGGAGGTCGAAGAGCACGAAGTGTGTGACTGTTGGCGAAAAGCGAGCCCGGCTCTGTTCCCGGTTCTCCAGAATGTGTCCTGGGAATGGAGTTCTGGGAGGTCGAAGAGCACGAAGTGCGTGACTGTTGGCGAAAAACGATTCCCGGTTCTCCTCCCCGGCACCCGCCCAGACCCCCCTGAGGAGTCATGATGCTCTCTTTTGACACCACTAGAAATCTATCAGCAAAAGCTGTTAGGTAAAAAACAAAAAATGCAAGCGAAAACCCAACCCCGGGGAAACCTGCGCGTAAAAAACAATACGCGAGAAGGGGGGGGGCGAATATTCCCAAGACGTCATCAAGGGAAAAAGGAGAATAGCATTCATATTCTCATACGCACCTCTCCGAGGGAGTAGAGCTCAGAGGCGATTAATGCGCACGTCGTCCGCGATTTGTCTGGCCGTTTCGCTCGGGACATCCTCGAAATTCTGAAAATCCGTGGCACCCCTCACGCAGATCGTGACGTCAGGGTCCAAAAACACATGGGAATTTCAACATTTTAACATAAAACCTTCAAAAACACATGGTAATTTCAATAATGTTGACCCCGATTCTCAGAGAATGGCGGTTTCGCCTGAGACATCCTCCCAAAATCGAGCCCCAGACCCCTCCTCGGAGCCTCCTGGGGGCCTCCTGGAACCTCCTGGGGCCTCCTGGGCTTTCTGGACCTTCTGGTACCCCAGACCCCGCCTCGGAGCCTCCTGGAGTTCTCCTGGGCCTGCTGAGGCCGCCTGGGGCCTCCTGGGGCCTCCTGGGGCTTCAGAACTACATGCACACACAGAGACACAAATCACGCCCAACACATCACACGCTAGACAAACATAACACACACACACACACACACCGCACGCACGCACGCACACACACACACACACACACACACACACACACACACACACACACACACACACGACAACGCACAAAAAGCACGCACCACACAAAGCACACATCACACACACACACACACACACAACACTCACAATCCTGGGGCCTCCTGGAGTCTCTTTTGGTATCCAAGTCGGGCCTCCTACACATCGCAAGGTGTGGCAACCCCACTTGCGCTCGAGTGCGACTTCGCTGTTGCATGTCACTCCTGCTTCAAACGCCCCTTCAGCTTGTTGTATGAGCCTGGGCACACACGTGCCACTTGTTGAATAATTGCGAGGTGGGTGTGCGACGCGGAATACAGCGCGTTCGTGGCGGAGGGGGGCGATGGGCGGGGCCCCCACTGGGGCGTCGGGGGCGCGGGGTGGCTCGGAACAGAGGACCGCGGAGCGGAGGCCCTACCGCGGCGCTGGGGGCGCGGTGGGGGGGGGGCGGGGGGGGGGGCGCGCGGCGCGGAATGAAGCGTTTGCGGCGGAGGGGGCGATGGGCGAGGCCCCCGCTGGCGCGCTGAGGACGCGGGGGGGCTCGGGGCAGAGGTCCGCGGAGCGGGGGGGCCCACTGCGGCGCCGGGGTCGCGGGGGGAGGGGCGGGGGGAGGTGGGCGCGCGACGCGGAATAAAGCGTTCGTGGCGGAGGGGGCAACGGGCGGCGCCCCCGCTGGGGCGCTGGGGGCGCGGGGGAAACTCGGGGCAGAGGGCCGCGGAGCGGGGGGCCCACTGCGGCGCTGGGGCCGCGGGGGGGTGGAGCGGGGGGAGGGGGGGTGCGACGCGGAATAAAGCGTTCGCGGCGGAGGGGGCAATGGGCGGCGCCCCCACGGGGCGCGGGGGGGCGCGGGCCAGAGGGCCGCGGAGCGGAGGTCCCACTGCGGCGCTGGGGGCGCGGGGGGAGGAGCGGGGGGGGGTGGGCGTGCGACGCGGAATAAAGCGCTTGCGGCGGAGAGGGCAATGGGCGGGGCCCCCACTGGGGCGCTGAGGACGCGGGGGGGCTCGGGGCAGAGGGCCGCGGAGCGGGTGGCCCACTGTGCAACGCTGGGGTCGCGGGGGGAAGACCGGGGGAAGGTGGGCGCGCGCCGCGGAATACAAACGCCCGCGGCGGAGGCGGCGACGGGCGGGGCCCCCGCTGGGGCGCTGGGGACGGGGAGCGGGCTCGGGGCAGAGGGCTGCGGAGCGGGGGTTCCACTGCGGCGCTGGGGGCGCGGGGGGAGAGGCGGGGGGGGGCGTGCGTGCGACGCGGAATAAAGTGGTCGGAGCTCTAGACACCCCGTGCAAGAGGATAGCGCCCAAGACCACCCCATCGCCATGACCTCCAGGCGCGCCGCGACGTAGGCGGAGGCGCTGATGCAAGCACGAGCGCAAAGGTCTCCATCGACAGGATGAAGCTGCCGTGCTGAGACGCGAGATAGCGCGAACCAGTCCGACACCCCGGGAGGTGCCTTGCAGCGGTAGATGGTAGTGTCGACATCAATCGGCGAGAGGACGAAGTCATCCGCGACTCCGATCTTGACTGGGGACAAAGAAGCTGGCGTGAGCAACCTCGAGTGGGCGGGCTCCTCAAACAGCATGTCGGCTGCTCTGGCGCCCAGAATCACACGCAGCCTGCCGACCTTTTCGCGATGAAGAATATGCGAAGTCAGCGTAGCGCGCCTGGTCCTTGACCAGCGCAGGATCACCTTAAGGTCGAATGGCGCATGCGGTCGCGGTCGAGCTGCTGCCAAGTCCGCAAGTTAGTCGATACAGACCTCCAGCGCTGAAGGTCCTGTCCGGACAGCACCTGCTCGCCGTCGGCCAGGCCGCCCACGTTGGGCAATGAGACCAAGTCAGGCTGGAAGCTGCGGCTACGGTCAAAGTCTGAGTAGCCAGGGCAAACGCCGCCAAGCTCCGCCAGGGTTTGCGCGGCCGCGCAAGGAGGAGGCGGCATAGCTCGACAGGTGCCGGAAAGAAGCTTCACGCTCAGACTCTGGGCCTCTGAGACCTCAAGACCAGGCGGAGGATGAATTGTGCAACCGTACATCTCATCCAAGCATTCAACAGCCAAATTAACCGAGCTCTGCCAGCGCCGACGCACACGGCGACGACGTCGGACAACGCGGCACCCAGAACCAGAGGACAAAATCAGAGGTAGTAGCTCGTGAGTTACTGGCATCCCTGATGACGGCGACTGAACGGGACCCCAGCCGCCTGGCACTTCAAGACCGCTGGGCCGCCGCGACTGCCGCTGCCGCGGCAACCTCCTGGGCCTCGGCGGCGGCCCTGACGGCAGCCCTCTCTGCTTTACCCTTGCCCTTGGCGGGCGGCCGTGCACCTCCAGACGCATCCGCGAGCGCCGTCGGCGGCGGAGGCCACTGCTGGTGCGAGGCCTGGCCAGCCTGCAGTCTCTCCTCACCTGGCTGGCTTCCTGGACCCCTTTGCGATCGTCGACTCGCGGTGCAGCTGCGATGCGACGAACTCCTCAAGGAGAGGATAAAGCATCAACTAGCCCCGCGTCTCGCAAACGCCCAAGTACAATAACTCATCATGTAAGATGTCATCGATCTGGCCGCCCGCGCGAAGCAGCATGCGCTTGCAGCGGCACTCGGCCAACTGAGCACGGCGAAACAGCTGTTCCACGAACGACAACTCTGAAGCGTTCTTGCTTGCTTAAGGGTTTGGGAACGATGCGACATGCGCGCATCCAAGCCTGCCCACTGCCACTCACAGTGTCACTCGTCCACCACGATTGCACAGAAGACGCCCAGATACCACTCTAAAGCCAGCGTCTCAGCCAAGAAAGAGCACTCAATCATACCACAATTCTTGCGGACCCAGTAAACAAAATACTTGCCGCCGCCTGCTGCGCGCGACCATGCGACGACACCTCCAGCACCGCAGCCGCCGCCCCGGAGGGCGCCGACGAAACTCAACCGGATGTTGATCAAGCGGCCCTTCGTCCTGGAGATTGCATCGAAATTCTGCAGCTGCCAATCTGAACACGCATCCAAGGCAACGTTCGCACGATGACCTGCTATTGAATTGAACTTGCGCTGGTCCCACTCGACGAATGGGACTACAATGGTCCGCGGTGAAAAATGGCCATGTAGCAGCTGACGAAGACGCCGTCCGATTCTGGCAAATAACGGTCGCACGGCCGCCGACTCGTCCGCGGCCTTCCCAGAGAACACTTGCGACAGCAGTTGGTTGTCGGCCTGGATCCACAAGCGCCGGGGGGGCCCGTTCCACGCCAACTCCTTGTCCAGCTGCAGAAATGGAGGGGGCGCGTCAGCATCCGAGGCAAGTTTGATACGTTTGAGCGGAGGTCGAGGCCGGGCTTCTCCTGCCCGCAGCAACGGAAGCCCCCGCCGCCCAAAAACCTGTGAACACAGATCTGGGAACAGGTTGTTCCGCGCAGTTGCTGAACGATACGTGACCAACCTGTCTCGCCAGACTGCGCCCCATACCTCGACGAACGGTCTCTCCCACGAGGTTGCCCCCCGCCCACTGCGGCTCCGTTTCGTTTCCGCTTCGCGACGAACACCTGCACGCCCCCCACCAACGAGTGCCCCTATATGATCTGACAGACAGGCATGCCAACGCGCCGCCCCCCACTACCAGGCAATCATATCTCCAAACTGCTTTGAAGACCGACTTGAAAATGCGCCCCGGCAAAGTCTTCAAATCCAGATGCACAAACCACCTCTCGATCCTCCGTGCTGTCCTCTCGTTGCATCTGAATGCGCTTTCCCCAGGTTGCCGTCTCATCCTTAAAATCAGCCGTGGTATCTTGAGCCCCCACCGCCGGGCGGCCTGGAATAAACCTGCACTTGCACAGCGCGATCAGTGCCGTCGCGTCGTGAAACGCCCCGATTCTTTTAGAAAAAAGCACGCTGGGACTGCCGAGCGCCACCCTGCGTTTGAAATAACGCCCCTCGCCCCCCCCCCCCCCCCAAATTGCGGAGGTAGGACGCGCGCGCGGAGCCATGGCAATCGAAGAAATGCCCCGGCAAAACAAGGGGCACGCGCGCCAAGGATCACACAATGACGACGCGGGCCCACCGGAGATGGAGAAAGCCAGGGATGGCGAGGGAGGAGGGCGGCATGGTGGAGCCAACACGATTACGGAGAGAAGCGCGCGGGTAGCCCTCTCCCTCGGCAGAATCCCCCCCGGCGCTTGCAGGTCAGGGCGCGCTGGGATCTCTGGCAACGGCTTCAGAAGATGTGCAATTCGCGCGCGCGGGGCAGGGGGCCCGGGGAAGGCAGGGGGCGCGCGGGGGAGGGGGGGGGGGGGCGCGGGAGCCCGGGGAGCACGGCGGCAAAGAGAGAGGAGCGCAGGGATGAGCGGGGGAGGGGGGGCGCACTGTCGGAATAAATCGATGGGGGGGGGGAGGGGGGGGGCGCGGGGATAGCGAGGGGTGCGCGGAGGGGGGGGTGCGCGGAGGCCTGGGGGGGTGGAGGGGGCACGGCGGCAAAGGGAGAAGGGCGCAAAGGATGAGCGAGGGAGGGGGAGCGCACGGTCGGAATAAGGCGCGGGCGGCCCGGGGAGGGCGGGGGGAGGGCACGGAAGGAAGGCGGTGGCCCGCGGAGGGTCGGGGGGGGGCGAGAGCGAAAGGGCGGGGGCGCAGGGGGTGAGCGAGGAGGGGGCGCACGGTCGGAATAACAAGAGGAGGCGCCCGGGGACGGCGGGGGGGCGCTCAGGGATGGGGGCGCGGGGGCGCGGGGAGGGCGAGGGGGGTCCGGGGGCAAGGGAAGAGGGGCGCAAGGAAGGAGCGGATGGGGGGGCGGGGGGGCGCGGTCGGAATAAGGAAAGGGGCGCCCGGGGGCGGCGGGGGGGCGCACCTGGGAAGGAGCGCGGGGGCCCGGGGATGGCGGGGGGAACACGGGTGCAAGGAGAGGGGGGCGCAAAGGAAGAGCGGCGGGGGGGCGCACGGTCGAAATATGGCGAAAGCGGGAGCGCGGGAGCCCGGGGAGAACGGAGAGAGCACGGGGGCACAGATGGGCGGCGCAGGGGGGGAGCGGGAAAGGGGGGCGCACGGTCGGAATAAGGAGAGGCGCGCCCAGGGTGGGGGGGGCACGGGTGCAAGGAGAGGGGAGCGCAGGGAAGGAGCGGGGGGCCAGCACGACCACCAGCGCGAACACCAGCACGACCAGCCACCAGCACGACCACCAGCACAACAACCAGCACGACCACCAACACGACCACCAGCACCCCCAGCACTACCATCCACCAGCACGACCACCAGCACAACCACCAGCACGACGACCAGCGCAACCACCAGCACGACCACCAGCACGACCAGCCACCAGCACGGCCACCAGCACCTCCACAAGCACGACCACCAGCACAACCGCCAGCACGACCACCAGCACGACCACCAGCACGACCACCAGCACCTCCACCAACCACGACCACCAGCACGACCGGCCATCAGCACGACCACCAGCACGACCACCAGCACAACAACCAGCACAACCACCAGCACGAGGGAGACCAGCAGGCCCAGCCAACAGCACGACAGCCAGCATCACCAGCCACCAGCACGACCACCAGCACAGACACCAGCACGAGCGCCAGCACGACCTACCACCAGCACAACCACCAGCACAAGCACCAGCACAACCACCAGCACGACCACCAGCACGACAACCGGCACCTCCACCAGAGCGGCCAGCAGCACGACCAGCAGCACGACCACCAGCACCTCCACCAACCACGACCACCAGCACGACAACCACCACACCCACCAGCACGACCACCAGCACAACCACCAGCACAACCACCAGCACGACCACCAGCACAACCACCAGCACAACCACCAGCACGACCGCATTACCAGCGCACGGTCGAAATAAAGCAGTGCGAGATCACACCGGTAGGCATGATGATAAGTGTTCAACCGGTTGTATCTCAAGATGTCGCCCCCTGGCCCGACCGCAAACCATCCACCTTCATCCGTGGGCCGGGCCCACCGGCCAGCGCCTCCAGCGACGACGGCTTCCACTTGAAGTACCTTTCCCCGGCGCTGTCGACTGCAGCCGAAAATGCGTTCTTGAAGGTCACGAATCATGCACTGCATCATCTCCCCATTGGTCGCAAACAGAAAGACGTCGTCTGCCCAGACAGCGCGGCCGATGCACAACTCTGCGCCCCCGCCCCCAAAAGAAAAGAAAATCCCATACCGAGACTTTCCCATTCCATGACAATCGGTTCGATCGCATGCTGAACGATGGCGTTCCACTGGTCAGGCGTCTCCACGCCCCCTCGCTTACCACCGCGATAAAAGGAAAGGCGCGCTGCATCTCCGGCCTGCGGCAGAGACATGGCGGCCTGGATATCGCGCAACTCGCGCGCGACGAGCGCGGCGCCCCAATCGCAAAGCCCCCGCGCTAATCAGGAGTCATGTATCATCTGGTGGGGCATGGAGTCAAAAGCGATGGCGACGTCTTGACCAGACACCAATACCGAGAAGTTCCACTCCTCAGCAATGTAAAAGATCTCCCGCGCCACGCAATTGAAGTCAGCTGCCGAATATCCCCCAATATGTCGACGTAGAAACATGAGA